TGAGTCCAAAAACGTGCTCAAAACAATTTAGGAGGAGCATAGCTATTTCAAACAAAGCAGGGCACGGTTCATTTCGGGAAAATTAGATAAATACTGCTTTTGTAACTTAAAATGCACATAACTTCCTCATACGATATTTGTTTTGGATGCTTTTTATATCCACGGAATCAGGAGAATGTAATCTATTCAAATTTCTTATCCATAACTATCAGATATACTTAAAGCAAAAGTTTATTTTTAACGTCACAAATAGAATTATTTTTTGGTGATTTTCGATTCGATTCTCAGTGATAGATGATTTGACATGTTTGAGATATTCTGAAACAAATTATGAATATAATATCTTTCATATACAATATAAACATAAAGTTACCTGAAATTGGTCTTTAATACATAGCGGTTCGTTGTGGTTTGACCGCCGAACTCTGACCAATTTTTACCATTTGTTACAGCTAAAGAACAAACGCTTAACAACGACCTCTGCAACTAAAATATCCTACATAAACCACCTAATGTCAAACTGAGACTAGAATTTAGTCAGATACTGAATTCTTCGAAAGTTTCACCAAAAGTCAAACCGGTTAAAAAGTCAACGGTCAAAAGTCAAACTCAAAGTCCACGATAAACGACCTTCACGTCATAAACCTTTACCAATCAGAATACGTAACACTAAAAAAAATAGCATGGAATTCTCCAAAACACACCCCTTGACCCATAGAGGGTCGCACCATGACATCCAACTTAACAACCTTCTACTTTAAGGACTTAATCCATTAAGTATGGTACCTCCATGGCTCCAAATCTCATATTCGAATCACACAATGGTCCTAACTGGTAAAGTTTCCAACTTTATCCATTCTAATGGCTTAAGAAAACAATATCTCAAACCTTAGGTCCAAAATCTCATTTATAATGATAAAACTTAGTGTGTGGCTTAAAGAGAAAGCATACATGGCCCTTTTATCACATGATAGAGGTCTATAACTTTAGAAAGGCCATAACCAAGTCCTAGAGTTGATCAAACTCCAAGAACATCCATAAAAGAGACCAAAACCACATATATCAACAAATACCTAAGAAAAAAATCATAAAGGAAGGAACTTTATGACTCACCCATGTCTAGAAACACAAGGTATGGTTGAATCTAAGCTTAAGCAACACTCCAATGCTCCAAGAATCACCTACTTTAACTTCAAGAATGAACCAAAAACTCTAAACTTGGAAAGGAATGGAGAGGGAACAATATAGAGGCTAGGGTCAGGGTAAGGGATGATCTCAAAGGATGAAGGCTACCAAATTACCTAAAAATACAGAGGAAACACCTCCCGAGCATCTCCCCAGATCGCACATGCCAAAAACTCTTCAAATGACATCATGGTTGTAGAACTCGCTACTTTGTACCTGCTTCGTCGACTACTGAGTAGCGAGTACTCGGGAGTACCCGTGGAGTACTCGGATTCGGTAATTCATGTGGAAATATTTTTAGGAAAATTATATGTATCCAAATCATAAGTTAAAACCATTAGTTGATTGAAATATATAATAAAGTTAGATATATGTAGAATAGTAACATAAAGTAGTGTTCTCACGTTCTCACATTAAATAGTGTTCTCATTTGAACTTAACTCTCTCTCTCTCTCTCTCTCTCTATATATATATATATATATATATATATATATATATATATATATATATATATATATATATATATATATATACATGTAGTAATAATCACATGTGTATGTGTGTGTGTATTAAATAATAAATCATTAAGTATATTATACATATTAATCACCGAGTTGGCTAAGTTTTACAACATTGCTCGCTTTGCACCGATCGGGGAATACTCAGATTCTGTAACTCGCATCGGTGAAGGGCCAACTACGGAGTACGCGGTCGATTAATCATACAATTCGGCGAGTTTTACAACACTGAATGACATAAACACAAACTATATACACCGGTCGAAAAGAACGTCGCAAATGGGTGTTTTCTCCGAGATATCGACACATGTATACAATTTTAAGTAATTTTATATATGTGTTATAATTAGAATTTGTTCCTATATTTATTGTGTTCGTATTTTTGTTCTATCGCTTGTTTTTGTTCAATCGTTGTTAGTTTCTTATGTAGATTATTGAAATTAATTTGATTGCAACGATTATTTTGAAAGCCCATAATTTTCATGTTCATTAAACCATCCGTTGTACCCACCACATACCACATATGTGGTGAGTGGCACATCAGCACCACATTCTTCTACCACTAACATGGGATACCTACTACTAACACACTACTCCACCTCATTTTTTTTATTTAAATTTAATTCAAAAATACATTAAAATCATTTTTTTGATACTAGTTTTCCATTAAATTAAAAGACCAAATTACATTAAATAAAAACTACAATAATTGAAATCTATAAAAAAAAAAAATAAATAAATAAAAATAAAAAAATAAAAAAAAAAAATTACATTTCTTAAAAAAAAAAAAAAAAAAAATTTAAAAACATTAAAAAAATTAAAAATTCCAACCATAAAAGAAATAAACTACCCTATACGTCTACGTTGGGCTCAAACCGACTCTTTCATCGCTTGGAAAAGTTCCAAGTTTTCTCCCTGGAGTTCGTCCGCTTTCATTTTCAAAATTTTCATATCGGTTTTTGTTTGGATCGTCGCTTGTGCCTAGGGGTGTCTAAAAAAACCGTAAAACCGAAAAACCGAGCCGATCCGGCCAGTCCAAAACCTAAAAAACCGAAAAAAACCGAAACCGAAAAAACCGGATACCTACGAGTCGGTTTCGGTTTGGATAGTTAGATATCCGTGGATACCCGAACCGAACCGTCATATATATATATATATATATATATATATATATATATATATATATATATATATATATATATATATATATATATATATATATATATATATATATATATATATATATATATATATATATATATATATATACTCAATGCAGTTTTAAATTGAAATGTTAACAACAAATTAATCAAAGATGCCCGATGCCCACACAGTAGCCACATAAATTAGCATCATGTACATATGCTTTTGATCAACTTTATCAAACGTATGTTTTATGAAATTCATAAAACATATTTTATCATGTTTATAATACGTATGTTTTGGAAAGAATTGAATATTTTTTTTCTGATTTTGTGAGTATTTGATTTCATAAATAAATGGTTGAAATATAGTTTTGAATTATTATTATTTTTTATATTTTACCCGTGAATCGAACCGTGGTTACCGTCTTCATACGGTCGGTTCGGGTTTTTTAGCAATTCAGTTCGGTTTCGGTTAGTGCATGAACACCCCTACTTGTGCCTCTTGAAATGATGTTTGTGCTTCAATCATTTTTTGCTCCATCCTAATCATCACCTCGGCCTTCGTTTTTTGAAGTTGCCCATATCGATCAAATTTATCGTCAAACATATCCATAACACTAGAATTCAAAAATGTTCAAGCCGCTTTTTTGCTTTATTTCTTCCAACGGGCTAACGTAGAGGTTGGTCGTTTTCAAGATCTAGCGGATCGTCGTTGATGTCGATGTGTGTTCGGCCATCCGATTGTTGGGAGGTTCCATCGGGGTTTTTCGAACGCTTTGAACCGGAAGATTGCGAACTTCCTTCCGTTTGCTCTTTCCATTTTGGAGCGTCTTTCAATTTTACTCATGGCTTCATATACGGAAAAGATTTGCGTGTTGGCGTTGTTTTTTCAAATTGCTCCATGACCGCCTTGAAAACATCAAAATCGTTCGAGCCACTTCTGCGTATGTTTAGGTGGTTATTGTAGATTCCTCCAAACTCGATGCATTTTAGTCGAATATCTCTCCATTTCGACGTAGTTTGATTAGCATTTCGAGTTTCACTTTCCATTAACTCGTAGAAAATGGCTCGGACTTTCTCCCAAAAACTTCCATAAGGCTGACTATCCCCTACAATTGGATCTTCGGAAGCCGCCACCCATGCATCCGCTAACTTTTCTTCTTCTGCTTTTTGTCCATGGGACCCTTTCTTGGGTGGTAGTGGGTCGGGCCGGTTTTTTTCCTTTTTTCTTTTTTTGTTGAGGTGGTGGTGAAGGTTGCATTTCCGCAACAAAATCCGGCGAAAGTGGTAGTTGTGAGCTTGGTGGTTGTGAAATTGGTGGTTGTTGTTGTTGTGACGATTGTTGTTGGAGTTGTTGTAGTTATTGGAATTGTTGAAATTGTTAGTATTGTTATGAAATTTGTTGTTGTTGGAAAGATGGAAAAGGTTAATATTGTTGTTGGGAAAATGGTGTTTGTTGGATAGGGGAACCGGTTTGAAATAGATTGATAAAACTGCCTTGAGGTGACTCCATAGTCGGGAATTGGCGATGTGTTGTATCTAACGCAAAAGAGGGGGGGGGGGGGGGGGGGGGGGGGTATTTTGGTTAGGATCCATGGGTTTTGGTTGTGAAGATGTAGTGTGTAGTTTGCGTATAGAGAAAGAAAAGAATGATGTAAAAAATAAGAAGTAAAAGTGTTGTATTTATAGGTAAATAAATTGGTTAATTTTTTTTTAAACAAACTAGCCGTTGAACGACTATAATAAACGGTCAAATTTTAGGCTTCGATTTCATTGGTCGTGCGATTCCGTTGTATCGAGCACGAGAGTAAACGACAACAAGCAACCATGAAACAACTGGGTAGTGTACACGCCCGTTGTTCATGGCCACCTCAACCACGAACAGCCTTGTGGTAAGTATACCACAGCCTTAACACCGAAAGCTTTTTGTTTAATATTGATCATAAAAATATAGTTCAATATAACAATTAATAAAAATATTTCATAATTAATTAATGGTTTTATTGATTTGATAAGATATATAATATATAAAACATGCATCTCCTATCAAGTTGTACATGCTTAGTTAAAAACATATATGGTTAGCAAACTGTTTGCTCCCCCGTTATTATATATAAAAACTGCTTTTATATTCCAACTTCATCATTTTCCATCACCTCAGACCACCACCTGTTCCACCTTGATTATTTCCCCCTACTCCACCACCACCTGTTCCACCTTGATTATTTCCCCCATCCCCTCCACCAAGCACCGGGTTCGGATTAATAATAGCAAGGACAAATTGAATAAAACTAGTAAGGCCTCTAGTAATTTGGTTTACAAGTGTACCAGGCAATGTTGTAACAACTTCCGCTTGCGAGTCCTTTATATAATCCTTGAGTCCTTCTCTAATATCATCATCTAGTCCTCCTGTGAGGTTAACCACTTCATGTCCTTCATCTATATCTTTAATAACTCCACATGATATGTGTGTTTTGGAGATACAACCAATTTGACTATTACCCTCAAGATATCCACTCAGAGTTGTCTCCTCTCCAACATGATTTTCACAACAAACATTGTCAACTACACAAAGCAACAACACAAAAAGTACAGCATTAATAGGCCTAAGAACCATTGTTAAGTATTATATTATTGTTCTACAATGACATGAAAATGTGATAACAATTCGCATGGTATTTATACCCATTTAATTGGAAAGAAATTTATTAGGACAACTCACATACTAGTACGACAAAGACAAACTATATTGCGTGTAAATTGGAATCTGTTATCACATTTTCATGTCATCGGATTTTTTTGGTACCAATACTCTCTCTCTCTCTCTCTCTATATATATATATATATATATATATATATATATATATATATATATATATATATATATATATATATATATATATATATATATATATATATATATATTAACCGTTTACTCGCGCCAAGGGACGAGTGAGAATAATTTCTTTATAAAAGATAGTTGCTAGAGGCCATAAGTAAGTTTATCTATAGTTTGAAGTATGATAGTTTAATGAAAATAAAAACTACAAAATTTATAAAAATAATTGCTAAATATGTAAAATATTAATATATTTAAAGTTGTTTTAGCTTAGTAGCTAGTGATTACTTTTAACTACGTAAAAAAATGTTTATATAACTCGCTAAACCGACAATAGAGGGTAGGGTTGTGTATAAAGACAAAACATAACTATTGGTCCGGATGGTTTGCAAAAAAGTATCATGCTGATGAAAACCAGGCATGACAATTGGGTTGAGTTCGAGTTGGCGGGTCACGAGTTAACGGGTCAGAAAACATAAACTCAACCCAACCCATATAATATATGGGTTGACGGGTTGGCGGGTCATGGGTTGGTGGGTTAGAAACCTCAACCCAACCCAACCCATATAACCCGTTTAAGTATATGGGTTCGCGGGTTCACAAGTTAATGGGTCAAACCCAACCCATATAACTTATTTAATAAATAAACAATACATTTTAAATAAATGAGGTTTTTCAACAAAAATTCATAAAATGATTAAAGTAATTAACATAAAAAAAAAAGGTTTTCAACATAAATTCATAAAGTCATTAACAACCAAATAAAAATGAAAAATAAAAACATTCATAGAAAGTGGATGTGTTCTTTGTTTGTGACTCGTGAAATAATGACATGTATTTTTTTTCTTTTTTCTGATTAACGAACCACAAACGCAGATTAGCACATACAAATATGAAAGGAATACAATGATACGGAATATTACGAATACGGATGAAAAATCAAATTTAATTAATAATTAAATATAGCATTATATATATATATATATATATATATATATATATATATATATATATATATATATATATATATATATATATACGGGTTGGCGGGTTGACCCGCGAACCCAAACCGATAACCCAACCCAACCCATGAAATAAACAAGTTGGTGGGTTGGCGGGTTGACGGGTTGACGGGTCAAAAATCTCAACCCAAACTCGTCGATTTTCGAATTGGGTCCATGTCGAGTTACAGGTTGTATCGAGAGTTGCCACCCTTAATGAAAACTATTCGTTTGGTCCGTATGTTTTTATTATGTGGCATGTTTTAGTCTTTCAAACTTTAATTCTACTTATTTAGCTGTTTTTTACATGACAAATATGCCATTTATATTAAACCTATAAAATACGATATGTCTCGATACTATTAATTTTGAGTTCCCTTAGGAACAGTGACCTTTGAAGTTTGACATTTTTTGCTATTAAGTTTGGTGTGATATTCATTTAGTGCCTTTTGTTTATTTTTCTTTTCAAGTGTGATATTGTTTATTTTATTAGGTATGTAATTTAATTTTTTGGTTAATTAGTTGCCAGTGACACTTGGCGTAACTTTAATATGATCCCGTTATCACTAACGTGGCATTTACCTCTTGCTTTAGCATGACTCGCTGACTATGTAACCCAATCAGATTAGGATTGGTGTCAACGTATCGAAATAGTCAGCAAAAATTATGTGTGATTTGTATTCCATATAATTGTATTTTCGATTCTTTAGGTTTCCTCTGTTATTTACCTGTTAAATTTGCCATTTTTGCCCTTACTTTCTTCTATTGAATTGCAAGTTCTGGGGTACAGGTTTAGGGAGTTATGTAAGCTTCGATTGAAAGGATTTTCTTACCCAGAAACGTCTTCAAATTGTAAGTATTATGTTTTGATTATGCTTTACTTTTCCTTTTAATTTCTAAAGTTATGATGGAAACATAAATTCATAATTTCAATTAAACTTGGTTAAAGTTGGGAGAGTTTTTCATCCATGAAGGTTATCAAATTTGTGTTATTGATATGTATGGATATCAAGTTTGTATCTTATCATATTAACTTAAGAAACTTCAAAAAATAGCGGCAAAATGAAAGTAGTTTCACACTGGGGTTCTCATAATTTGATGATTAATTGTCGCATTTTTTCAATGCTTATTGGAGAATTTCAATTGCAGATTGAGTTGAAATTCCTATGTTTCTAAATACACATATAAACAATATGCAGGTAAGATTTCAACACTTGCAATAATTATTTTTGATTTTTCTACTTCAGGTGTTTGGTCGCAGGGATAGTTTGATTATTTGTTTTTTCACCACGATCGCTCTCAAATATCTTTAATTATCATCATAACTACAATCCGGTAAGTTGTTATATATATATATGCATGGTGATTATCTGTCTACACGACAACCAACTGTTATTGGTTTGTTTTTATCTTTACTTAATCTTCTAATTTTGATTTTTTGTTGTAATAGCAGAAGTTGAACAATGATGAAGAAGGGTGAATGGAATTTATGACTTACAAGTTTGCATTTGTGTCTAATGAAGTTGCCTAAAAATGTTGTTTTCCAAACAACATAAGAAACAAGGATATATGTAAGTCGAAGAGGTTAATATTTTTTTTTGTTTGAACGAATCTCTGATTTTTTATGTTTATTGTAGCATGATTGTGTATTATTATTGATCTCCATATAAAGTTTTGGAGTCTGCTGGATGAAGGTACATTAATGGAGGTATGAATGAATTACAATGTTTATCTTCATCTATTTTTTTCTCAACTTATTTGTCTCTCATATAGTAAATTTTCTCCTTTTGAAATCAATATTTGCAATAATGTGCTTTGCTTAAACCGCATAACTTGCCATGTTTTACATCACAATTAATTGTCTTCGTTCAATGAGAAAAGGGCAACAAATTTGTTTCGACTTTTTAAGGTCGGATTAGTTATAATTTGATTTCATAACTGACATGAATTGCTTTTTTGGTGTTTCATCTTGCGGGGTCTTCTAAAAGTTTTGTGGACAGGTAAGAGTGCGGCCCTCTTAAAATAATCTCTTATTTTAAATAAAACCTCTCTTTTAATTTTATAAAGGGTATATAAGTAATTTTACTCAGATATGTGTATTAATCTTGGGTTTATGTTATTGTGTTTAAGGTTTCTTGATATAAAAGAAGGTCACTATAATCCTAGGTTATGTTATAGCAATGAGGAAATGGCGACAAGGATCACACGTTACTTATATTTCATTTATAATAACTAGCTATCACAATCTTCATAATATTATTACAAAAATGCTATGCAAATGTACATATTTTTACACTTATATTGTTTTTAATAACTAGCTATTACAGTCTTCATAATATTATGCCCAGATCTACAAGGATAAGCTCCATAAACGTCCTTAGCTCACAAAACCAACCAAAATAGCCAAAAGCAAGCCAAGGAATAGATTTATCAAATGAAATGATAAGCTTTGAACTTTATACCTCAAAAGCCAAGAAATGAAAGTGTTAAATCTGGATCTCAAGGCTCTTCTCCAAAGAATGAGTCTTCAAGCTTCTTCTACCACTTCAAGATGCACAACACAAAGGCAAGGGACGAACTAGGGTTTTCAAAGTTATGGAAGTTGGTTAAACAACGCCAAAAGAGACTATCTTATGGCTTATATAGGGTACAAGCCCTAAAATTAGGGTTTTAACTTGCTCATGTACGCTAAGGGACTAAACTAAAAAGTACAATGAATCAAGTGTTACACTTGGTGGATTAAACCATACTCTTTTAGTTGAAACAGACCTGTTGGGTTGAAACATACTCGTTCGGTTGAAACATACATGTTAGGTAGAGATATGCTCGTTACTTTTATGAATAGTTTATGATGTATGTGATATTTTGGGGAACTCACTAAGCTTTGTGCTTACAATTTTGGATTAAATGTTTTAGGTACTTACGGTGATCGTGAGAACAGGAAGGCATGACTGTGCACACTCATCTACAACTTTCATGTTTTGATAATTTGTGTTTATTTTATTATACCATGATTTTGGGATTACAACTTATTGAACAAATGGCTTTTATCAATATTATAATATATGGATATAGGTATTTTATCTTATTTAATTGAGACTTTATACGTTTCATGTGGTACATATACGATGGTTCACGTACGACCAAATTTTGAGATGATTAGGTCTCTATTTTCCAAGTATGGTTTATGTTTACTTATCTAACATGCTCTACTTGATCATCATCCCTAGAGGAGACCTTGGGAGTCCCTTAAGAGATAAAGGTATAGTTTAAAAGTTAGAAGTGACTTAGGGTTTTGTACATGTGAGTACATATCATGCATTGTATCCTTAACATTGTTATTATTTGATGAATTGTTCTATCCAACGTACTATTGAGACCTGTGTACATGTTAGAATCATGCACTACAACACTAATTAAGAAGACGAGATAAGCCACGTGAATATAAAGATGATGATTTTGGGCTTCAGATAACTTACAAACTTACTTGATAAATATTTGTCTTCAGGTTTAATTACGATTATCCCTCATCTACTTTTAAATTATTTAAATCTTTTTGAAAGCTTCTTATATATTGACACCTATACCTTAGATTAAAGATTTTTATGCTATTTTAAATTGGCCATATACAAGGTGTGTTACATACCATTTACATTGATCATGATGTTGCAAAGCAAGATCGAAGACAACCTCTAAATATAGGTTTGAAGATTTAAGCAAATGTCTATAATATGCATCTAAAGTTTAAACTAATTTTTGTTTCTCATATAAGTAAGA